AGTAATAGGTAAGTAAAGTGCCCCCTATTTATATATAAGTCCTACTCCCTTTTTTCTCTTTATAGCAGCCTATTTTCTTTACATTTTACCATTACAATGATGCATTTGGTGTTTTATAATCCATTTGATAAGTATTTCCTAATTAGATTGAAGCTCCATGGTACAAAGACTGAAGTGTTTTTAATGATCATTTTATACCTAGTATCACAGAGTGCGTGGCATGGTCATGAGCATTCAATAATATTCAGTGTTTGTTGAATGAATGAATGAATTTTAAAAGGTTTCAGCATTCATTTGTTTGTGAGATCTTTTAATTCCAGATACAGAGAAAAGGCTATGCAAATCTTCACCTCTGGTGGCCTTTCAAAAATAGTTTCTCAAAATCTCTTTTTATCTTTCTTTGCAAATCAAAATTCTACTTTGTATCTACTACAAACCTGCTGGACAAAATTTAATGCTTCCCTATTGGCAAGAGCATAAAAAGCCTAAACTTTAACATGATAGTCCAGACACTCCTTAGTCTGCCTATCCAGTCTTGACCAGTGTCCTGTTCTAGATCCCCTGATGCCCATCACTTCAGGCTTTTTATTATTACCTGGGCCACCACACATACTTTCTTTTCCTGGAGGCTCTCTTCTCTAGTTCTTTTCATATTTTTAAAGAATTGTTTTATTTATTCACTCATTTTATTTTAATTTTACCAGACACACACACACGCGCACACACACACACACACACACACACACAGAGTGAGGGGGGGCAGAGTGGAGAGAGAGAGAGAGAGAGAGAGAGAGAGAAAGTGAGAAAGCAAGCTGCCAGATCCGGGACTCGAACCGTGGTTGGCCATGTGGGAGTATCCAGCACCTTAACCACCATGCCACATGCTGGTCCCCTCTCTTCTCTAGTTCTACTCAATTCTCAAGAGACTCCCCCGCCCCCACCCCCCATTTCAGGAAGCCTTTGTCAATAGCTTACAGTTTTAGTGGACATTCCTTCTAATCTTTGAACAGACTATTGAACCAAATATTGAGGTACGAGGTACATGCAGGAGTCATCTTTTGAGGCTCAGGAAAAAAGTTTAGAGACAATGGAGGACTGGGCTGGATGGAAGTCTGAGCACATAGATTCTGGTCCTAGCTTGTTCACCAATTTGAGCAGTTTTACTTAACCTGATCAGGCTGCTCATGTTTTTTTTTTTTTTCGGTAGAAGTAAGAACTTGGCTAAAGGAATTGCTAGATGCCTTCCAACTCTGAGGTTTTCTATACTCAAGTTTCCAGGATATGAAGAATAGCCCATTGATTTATGTATATTTGGGTTAGAATTAGGCTGACCATAGCATTAGTGATTTTACATGTAGAAAAATTTCAATTTCATTAGTATACCTAAGGTAATTCTGCTGGGTTAACAGTGTGTTCTGAGAGGCAGAGTGACTACAGGGGCCAAGAGTCAGGAAGCCTGCACTGTCATGCTGTCCTGCCACTAACTGGAGGGTAGGAGACCAGCTTGAGGGAAACTGTAGACTCTATGAATTTCAGCCACTCCACTTCTAAACTGGGGATGATGGTGATGATAATGATAATAATAATTAATAATAAGTGTCTTATTCACTTCAAGGTTGTTTGGAGGGGCTATTATGTGTTATATGGTAGTTTTGATATGTTACTGAAAATAATTGAAAGTGAAAAATTATTGAAATGAAATGATTGATGTGCCTATTTATTAAAATAGTAAAGATTCCTTATATTGACTCCCCAAGATTCTTGTTTCAAGGACTGGGTCTGCTTTAGTCACATGTTACCACCTGAGACCAACCAGTTGTCTAAAAATATGAGGTGCATGACTCTTGACCAGCCAACCCAGTCAAATGTAGCTTGGGGGACCAGACTCAGGTTTTCTTGTAGCTTTTGTAGATCCACGACAAGTTCGGTAAGCCCAGGCCAGGATGTGGGTTCACAGTATAAGCCCTGAAAAGGGATCCAGAGGTTACTAAGCCCAACTCAGCCATGAGAGAAAAGAAGAATCTCGTCTTAGGTGGTATGGCAAGTCGGTGCTACTCCAAGCCTTTCGTTTGCCTGTGCCACCTCCATTGAAAGAGTTGCATGCGCTTATCCTGTCAGGATCCTACCAGAGAGAGGGGCAAAGATTGTGAGTCATATGCAGGATACATCAGGCCATTGCTGAACTGAGACTCTATCTTTTTATTCTCCCAGCTTCTTTTTTACCCTCCCCTCACTGGGCCATTATTTGGACATGTAGTTGAGATACTGGTCAATCAGAGCCCCATTTCAGGTTGGAGATTAGAACAGGGAGACCTTGAGGCTTAGCTTCTTCCTTCTCTTCTTTCTAATGCAGGTGGTCCCTGGGACAGAGTCTGTTCCACATTGTAAAATCAAACGGAGAAGATGTCAGAAGGAAAAAGCAGTGTGACAATGTCATCAAAGATACTCCTTGCCTGACAGGGAGCCGTAGGGAGAAAACAGCCTCTGTTGATTGCACATTATGGGGGCCAGCTCACATCTGCTGTGGGCAGGAAGGAGGGGCTGCTGTGCCTGGTGGTGCTACTTTTGTTGTCCTAAATGTGTCTCCAGAATTTCCCCCTGAAGAGGCTCTCTTGATGATGTCACTGCCAAGTTGTGAAAAATGGATCAAGGGCATAGGCTAGCATCATGGAGGTCAAAACATGCAGTTACAATCTTGTAGCTGGAAGATGTGTGGTCATGGGAGATGGCGTTTTGCTTTTTCTGATTTTGTCCATTTTCTTTGTTTTACTCTTCTTTCTTTTTAAGCTGAGGGACTTGTTTGCATGTGGGAGCTGTATTATTATTTTCTCCAGGATTGTGGCATGCTCCTGTGGAAGATTCCCTCAGAGCTGACCTCAGTGCTCAGCTTACTCAGGATAACATGTGACCATGGTTCCTCCTGCTTAGAACTGCTCATGCATGACTCCCTAATATCTCAGAAAGGAATACACATTTACTTTATGACCCCCAGGCTCTGGCTGACCCTTTCAGCATTTTTTTCTCCTGGATGTTCCTGGCCATACATTTAGAATCAAGTCATACCAAGCTGTTCGTGAATTGCTGGACATTCCACCTCTATGTTTCTGTGCCTCTTTTCATGTAGTGTCTTCTTTGGAATCACCTGCTACCACCCACTTTCCATGCAAGCAACTTCTACTCATCTACCTTCAAGATCCTTCAAGATCTATGCCAGATGTCACCCCCACTAAGTAGCCTTCCTTATCATCTGCAATACTAGCGCCCATTTCATCTGTGCTTTTTCAACCTTACCCTTTCTAGTATATATACATTCTTAGTAGTATTTTTATGTTTCTGCTGGGAGGTAGTATAACAAAGGGAAAAGAGCAATTTTTGCCTCCTGGTCTGTGCTTAAAACCTGCTCTGCCACTTATTAGCTGTATGTCTTTGCAAAAATTACTAAAGTTATCTGACCCTTGGGAGCCCCTTCTGTCTTTACTTGTAAATGGGCATCATGAAACGATCCTGAAGTGTTCTGTCAAGGAGGAAATGAACCAACCTGTGATGGGTACAGCACAGTGCTCGGCACATGGTATTGAGAGTTCTCAATGTCTGGAAGGGTGGTGACTGGGGTTACTGTGATGATTATTGAATCATGAATCTTAGAGATGAAAGAGACCTTGGGTCTTATTCATGCCTATGGAGCCAGATTCCTACTCCTTTGCCAGACAGTCATCCAGCTTTTCTTTGAAGTTTGCTTGTGACTGGGAGTTCCCTTTCTTTCTAATCTCTCCTGACACTGAATATAGAGGTTTTCTAGTACTTAGGCTAAGTTACTATATATATAGTAACTTTGCTGATACCATGACCCTATTTGGGGACCATGCCTTTGTTTTCTATCTCCTAAACAAGTCAGTAAGATAATTTCTTCTTTTGGTATCCCATTCCCTGGAGCCCTGTTCCCTGCTGGGTGGCATTGGAGGGGTCATTGGTTTTGTTCTGATAGGTGAACTCCAAGTTAATATCTTGGCTGTTAAATATTATCTTTGCCTGACAATAATGGCTTAACTCAGTGAAGATGTAGATGCTTACAGACCACTTTCTGTGATGGCAGGGCTTCAATAAACTTGAGCATCCCCCACTCCATCCCCACCTCTGCCTGGTTTTTGGTTTCTCTCTTATCTCCCCTTCCCCCACCCCCCCATACCTGGTCCCATTTTTGCTGATCATTCTATTATTGACCTTGTGAGTGACCTGGGGAAACACTGACAGTGAGTAGCAACTTTGTGGAGCTCG